AGGACTTACTTCTTGTATCGGAATTATTATAGCAACGGCTCTTAATGCTCTATAAATATAAAAATTAGATTACTTGTTTTTTTTTCACTCAAGCATTATGTTAATATTTTTATTATATTATTTAATGCCTTTAATTAAAATTACCTTAATGATGGAGCATATGGTTCATTACAAATACATATTATAGGACGTGTACAGCCATCGATCATTTTTTCTGATTCTTTCTTTTTCTTTTTCGTTATTAATTTGCCTTGAATAAATTTTAATAAAAGTTCGATGGATGCAGCCGGTGCACCATCAATCTCATCAAAAATTAAACAATTCGGTCGGGGATCAGCCCCCATCACAGCTTTCATTTCTGTTGATGCAAGGAGGATCCGTCTAAATAAAAATATATAATGTTTTTTTTAATTGTATTTCTAATGTTATGCGAGTATTGTATATTACCTAAATGTATCAGGAGTTCTTTCATCACTTGCATTGATTTCTACGACGTTATAACCGGCATGTCTGGCTACTATATGTGCTAAAGTGGTTTTTCCCAATCCAGGTGGACCACTGAGTAAGGCTATCCTTTTTATTGGATATCCTTTACTATCCACTTCCTCAATATCTTTGTCATCAATATTATTTCTTTTTCCAAAAGTAGGCAGCTTTTTTTTTGGTTTTGTAACATTTCGTTTAAATACTACTTTATCCCAAAGTTTTAACCAGTGTAATACTTGTCTATTAACAGTTTCATCTGATAATAATTCTATATACGATCGAGGTCGATATTTATCGACCCATAATTCATCGTTAACATTTGTTGTATCACATAATAATGACGGTTGCTTACACAATTCCTGTTTTCTTGCCATCTATAATATGATGTCATGTTAGTATTTTACAATAAAAATATAAATAATATAAAGAAAATCGAGAAATAGACAAACAATTTCCTTAGCCTGGATTTTTAATTGTTTATAGGGTACTAAAGTCAAATTAGCAATTGGATTTATAGACTGCTTAATATCATTCTGTTGATTTCTGACTCTAACATATAAACGTTGAGAATCATATGATCTTGTGACAGCCACAAAATTCCATGATGGAACTCGTAAAGAAATACAGTTTTTCTTGCTGCATTAAACATAAAAATAATGTGGATGCAATAGATTGTAAATATTATAATTTATATTATACAAATAATTTTAAATTGATAATTACTCACTTATTGTCACTTATCTTCATTGATATATTTCCATCTTCGTGTAATAATTGTCTAACATTCAATATTTTCTTAATGACTTCTTTAGGTTGATCCCATCGAAGCTTCTTTTCTCTTGGCTCTTCTACAATATTGATATCATAGGTATCAATTAAAAAGAAAGATTTTATGATAATTACTTCCAAAATCATCTATCTTATTAATTAGTTCTCAATTGATTACCTAGAATATCCATGTCTAACAAATTAGAGATGTCACTTAACAATTCTTCGCAACTGCGTTTCTTACTATTCCTAGGTGTACTGTCACAATGTTCCCCATAATCATGTTTTTTATTATTGCTAGTTATACTGTTGACTTCATCAGCATTAACAGATATAGGAATTTCAATACTTGATTGATGTTTATTATCATTAGTTGTCCAAGATATTCTACTACTACTAGGACTGGGATCAAATTGTGACAAGAAATGGTTTTTATTATTGCTAGTTATGTTGTTGACTTTATCAACATTATCAGGTACAGAAATTTCAACACTTGCTTGATGTTTATTATTAGCTGACCAAGACGTTCCAATATTACTAGGACCAGGCTCAGATTGTGACAATTGTCTTTTCTCAAGTAGTTCACCTTCGAGCAATTTAGCTAATTATTACTTGTTTGACAAGATGCAATAAATAGTAAAATACAAGGAAAATATTTAAATGAGATTTTAAATATTTAAATGAGACATCAATTTGTGTCTAAACTCATTTATCTTCATTTTAATCCTGGTTCAAAATATGCAAGAGTCATATGTTTACCTTCTAATTCTCTCAAAGCTTCATAGTCTGCTTGATGAACAAGATCGAACTCTTCGTCCAAATCTAAATCTGGGTATTCGTCTGCCATCCTGTTACTTAACGTGGATGTCAATCTTGCAATGTACAAATTCCAAATTTTCTAATACTAATTTTAAGGCCTCTTTCATTAACTTTTGGGGTTAAGTTAATCGATGATTACAAATTGTACACATTTTCACGACTGCTCAAACCGCCGTTTCAACGATAAGAAAATCACGTGGTCAAAATGGACGAATATCAAACTTCAATTCTGACCACGTGATGCTCTCTGTTGTCGACACGGTTATGGGCCGATTGTTCCATCTTTCGATAAAGTTTATACCTGTTAGGTAAATTTGACAATTCGCGCACGTGATTGGGTAATCTTGCTATTTACAAAAATATGGAAAGAAAAACGACAAATAAGAGTCAAAAAATGTAAACAATTTCTACACAATCATATCATAATCAAATATATTAAGCTCAAGAATTCCAATAAAGATTATATATAAAAAATCTTGCTATTTACCTAACGGGTAAATTATACCAAAAGATAGAACAATCGGTCCTTAACGGGCCATGAAAATATATTTTACATTTTAAAAAATTGTTGATAATTTCTTTTTCTTTTAAACTTGATGACACGATTTCGAATAAAGTTATTACAATAGGTCAAAATAAAATAAATACTGTAGAGTAAAATAATTTTATTGCACATATTAAACAATTTATAATTGTACAATAATTTCCTTATTATTAAATTCCGCAAATGTTACATACTATATCAAAAATAAAATATATAAAGCTGTAAATATGTATGCAATAAGTTGATGTTGTATAACTTATTGCTCACTTTTTTTTAATTTTAAAATTGCATATGTTATCAAATAGAAATTATTTTGTAAGGCCACAGGAAGATTTATTTAATTTAAAGCACACATGGATAAAAATAAGCAACATCCGTTCATGGAACAGATTTCAATATATACTTATTTCAATATATAATTATTTTCTATTATGTGTTGTAATTATGTAACTGCCATTGTTTCAGATTTCTTAGTCATTTTTCATAGACCTTGTATTTTTCGTATTTATTTCTAAATTAAATTATTATTTTGTCAATTGTTGTAAAGTAATCATATTATGTTGTCATTTTTTTTTATTTTTAATTTCTATTTTAATCTGTTTTATATTTTCCTCTATAATGATTTCTCGTTGGGGAAGACTTATAATTGAGAAGTGTACATTTCAATTTATTTTTTTTGCAACAATTTTAAAGTAAATGTTATTTTTAATAACTAGCTCATATTATTAATTATTTTTACTTATTTATGTTGATACTGTATCGAATTTGAAATAATTAATTAAATATCGAATTCATTTTATCAATCGGCAAATTTGAAATTCATTATTCGTGCACATTAAGATATTCAATTGAAATAATGCTTGCAATTGCTTTATGTACGAAAGCTAGCAATATATGAAAATTTAATACTTTATATATGTGATGTATTGTGGGTGTATTGTGTATATATATATATATATGTATGTATGTGTATATAGCTATTTTTTTAAAAGCCTAAAAGTTTAAACAAGTATGAGATTGTAAATTTGGAACATACTTTTTCAGCTGCCATCTATTTCTACGATATAAAAATATAAGCTACCAGCATATAAATCTCTTAATAATCTGTACTTTCATGATATGAATATCATATACAAGACAGATTTATCAAATCAAGATTTTTCAAATTTTTCGAGAAAGAAACGATTGATTTCACATTAAGATCTTAATTTGAAAAATCTTGATTTGATAAATCTGTCTTGTATATTCATATCATGAAAGTACAGATATATATATATATATATAATATGTAAAGACTAATTGTGATACAATTTTTTTTAATTTAATACTATTGCATAGATTATTGCAAACAATCTTTACATACCATAATCCAATTTTTTACAAAGAAAATTTATCAATATGTACGATATTATTAGTTATTTTGTAGAGTTGGACGCTTCAATGACTAAAGATATGAGCTGCACATATTGCTGCCTATCAATTTCATAGCTAATCTTAACATTTTGTTTCAAACATAAATGTAACATTTGCTCCAAAAATTGACATAAATTATGATTAATAATATAATAAATTTTTTTAAATCAATACTGTAGATAACCTACGGTACATATTTACGTTAGTAATGGAAATAAATATGGGAAGCACGAATCTATTGAAATATATATGGAAGTGTAAGTCTGTCTCTCTTTTCTTACAAGTTACACATAAATGTTTTAAAACATGCTTTTTGCTATTAAAAACGCAATATTTTCATTAGTTTCATGCAAAAACATGAAAAATATTTTTAAAAACCGTACAAAAGATAACAAATAACATATACATAAGTTGTATGCAATGAAATTACATATGTGAATATGTATGCATGTATGTATATATATATATATAAGGGTGTCCTATTTTAATGGAAATAGCAGTGCATCTCCTAAGCTTGATTAGTTGAGGAAATTTGTCGAACAAAAGTTCTACGATCCGAAAGACAACAAATAATGGTAAAATAAATTTTTAAGAAAATTAAGAATTGTTTCGTTAAAAAACTAGATTTTTAAATAATTTTAATGATTTTATATGTAGAATAACTAGAGAAAATTATATAAAAAGATCATTTCACTTTTAAAAAATGGTAATGATCCTTAATACAACTTTGAAAAATCCATTTTTCAATTGATTTTGTCATTATTTACCCCTTTTTCTTAACACAATTTTGGTCTGAAATATTATTTTTGAAAATACGTTTACAAAATAATCTTGACTGTACTGAATTAAAATGAAACACCCTACATTCATATATTAAAAAATTATACAGAACTATAAAATTACTTGAATAATCAAGAAGATGCATCCTTCATTATAAAAATTTAACTGAATCAATCTAATTGGAGCTACTTTTTTTTTCTTTTATATAGAGGTGTTCCCTAAAATGTATAAAATCAAATTCAAGTTTAGTACATAATTACATTGGTGGTATTGTAGACATTTCAACATTCAAATGCAACGTGTGGATGCAATCCATTTATCTTCTATGACGACCCAAATAAGCTTTACAGTTGGGACAGGTATGATGAACATCCATACACTCATCTATACAACAGGGAATCAAGCAGCAACCAAACCAACATCTAATATAGAAGAAAATAATGACATTATATATACTTATATAAACACAATGCAATCTGAATATTACTCATAATTACCCCAACAGTGCTATGATAACACCCGAAATATAAGCAATCATGCCAGGTTCAGTTTTTGTCACCGTATCTATTTCAGCATGGCAGTGTGGACAAATTGTATGAGTCGGCTGTGGTCCAACTGGGACAATAGTTGTGACTATAGTAGGCCCATTTGCATCTGCAAAACAACAGAAATAGAAAAAAGGTAATTAATAGCACATATATTTTTATCAATTATATTAATAAATTCAATATCTTTTTGACTTACAAGTTTGTGCTGGTGTAAATGGACTAGCTGGAGGAACACCTCCTACATTCTGAGAATAAGCAGGCGGTGCGTAAGGTGGTGGTTCGTAAGGCGGCGGTGGTCCGTTCTTATGCATGATTTCTTTCTATCTATTAATTAGATATTTGATAATGCAATGGATAATTTTGAAGAAGATAGGCTTAATTACAAAAATCAATTAGGCTTATTCAACGCATGTTTGTATAAAATGAAAGAAAAATACAATTATTAAGCTAATGTAATTACACAAATATTTAAAATATTTTACTAATTTAATTACTATATTAATAATTTAACATAGTATTCTATTAATTTAACACTATTATAATATTCCATTAATAATACAAGATCTTGTTAGGCAATATCAAAACAATGTATATAAATCTAAATCAGCACATGGACATTTGCATTTCAATTTGTATAATTAAGTAAAACGCAAAAAAATCATTATCAGACAAAGTAATCTAGTAACTAGTTGCCTATCGCTATATTTTAGACATGACGCGAGACGCTAAAAATAGATATTATCGCGAGGATACCAAAAAATTAGAAGAACGGTAAAATCTGCTGATAACTGTTTTCGAGTGAGACTGTTAGTTTAAAATTGTTTCCATCGTAAAACTTCGTTCAAAAGAAATATAAATGAAATGACAGGACATGGAATCTCAAGTAAAACAGCCTGCGACTCGCGTCGAAGGCCGTTATTCGAATACGAATGCCGATTGCAACATTTATTACGCATCCCGAATGATATTTCCGCCTTGTTAACGTCTGCATGTTACAGTGACGATAGCATGAATGTTGCAATAACGCATTCGCGATGTTGTAATTATTTATCTATCTCCTACATAAAGTGATAAATCCAACCTTTCGTTCGATTATCGGGTTCCCAACGATCGGTTTCCAGTGAAGACTGCTAGTACTGCTACGACTACTAGAGGCACACGTTTCATATGCAGAGCACTCACAAACGGCTCGAACTTTTTTTCTTTCTCTTACCTTGTGTGGATTTCCGACTTATCGGAGATTACGATAAATTCGCATTGCGTACGCCAGGGTGCGGCCTACTTGGCTCTAGAATCCTATAGTGCTTTTCACTCTATATTTTTTAGGCAGAACTGATGTGCACTTAGGGCCAATTTCACCAACGTCGGTTAAGCTAACCGACGATTGAAGTGTTAACCATGATTGGTTCATTCTGGTCAACGACAAATGCGATTGGATAATTCCATTGGAATTAACCGTTGGTTAGTCTAACCGACGTTGGTGAAATTGGCCCTTTTAAGTGCACATTAAGGCCGTTCAACACTCCAATCTGCATGTAATGCCTGGTTTATGCTTCAGGTCTTAATCCCAAGATCCTAAAATTCAACCAATAAAGCTGCCAGTTCTAACCGAAATTTGAACTCTATTGGCTGAATTTTAGGATTAAGACCTTAAGACCGAAGCATAAACCAGGCATGAAAGTGATATATCTTGAATAAAACGCCCATTGTATATTTCATCAAATAGCATAAAATGTATTGAGGATTTCACGATTCAACTCATTTCTGTATCTTTATTAAACATACACCTTTATTGCCTGATTTATATTTCGGTCCTAATCCTAAAATTCAGCCAATGAAATTAGATTTCGGTTAGGACTGGCAGTCTCATTGGTTAAATTTTAGAATTTTAGGGATAAACCCGAAGCTACCAAATAGACTATCGGAAAGTGGACCCATTTTAGGTTTCGAGTTCAGTTTCCGATTCTCAAACACTCGCAGCGCTCGTGAATTTAATCGTGTTGCGCATAAATGAGTGCGAGTTAAGAGAAATGATCATTCATTAATATCTCGGTTCGGATAGAGACCCTCTAATCAGAGTCGCGAAATAACGTTTCCAATTTTGATTGGTGCTGACATTTTTCAGCAAAAACCGGAAATAGTCATGGCGTCAAATTTAAGTCGACCTACATTCGCTGCCCATTTTGCTCTTTTTTCAGGATTACGAGGAAAGACTTTCATAATATAACCGTTTTTTACAGAATTATTGCAGTCTGGCGCAGAACAACCAGTCATTTTAGAAAATATAATTTTATGAAATACAGTGTTGATATAAAAAATATAATAATGTAATTTCTTTCTGATAACTGTATTTAGATTCACATGTATTAAGTGCTAATGTATTACAATCATAGTCTTTTCATTGCAACTGCGATGGTGCTCGTACGTGCAGTAGTATTATATTTTTCTTCATGCGTAATGTGCCCTACACAAAGAAAAATTCTATGCGTAACAGTGGGGGCATATTTGTTTATAGGTTGACACGGGCGCGCCTGTCCCCACAATAAACAACTTTCCCCCACTGTTACACAATGCACTATAATCGCTACTTCCGGTTTTTGTATGGCCGACCTAACCTTATTGACGTTATTTCACGACTCTATTAGAGGGTCTCTAGGTTCGGAGGGCAGAGCGGTACTTTTTATTGCCAGATTCGTTCGTTTCGCGCAAAAACGTGTCGAATAAGTGTATTTTTATCAAAATTTGAACTGAACGGGGTATTCTATACCTTTACCGAATTATAGAATGTTTAATATTAGAAATTGTTTGATAGCCTTAGTTGGGATTAACAGGAATTTGTTGACACGATCAATCCACGTGAATATCTTGTCGCTTGGACTTAAGTTTTCAGATGTAAATGCTCGATATTCAAACGCAGTTTACAAACGATTTTACTGTGATACTACGATCGACGAGAAAAATATAACGAGTGCGGACTTAAGAAGTCATAGACAAGAGTTGGATAAGAAGAAGCTAGATGAACTTTTGTCCGATTCCGAGAATTACAAGCGCTTTCAAATATTAGAATTGGAAGTAGACGTTTTGCGACACAATGCAGAAAGAGTGCCTAAGAATATTGAACCAAGAGACTGGTTGGTCCTGTTAAATGCAAGGGTTAAAGTAAAAAGAAAGTCAGCATTTTATTATTTTATTTATTTACTTTTTAGAAATTCTCTTTGAATTAACTTTGAAATATGTTTCTTTGTACAGAAAATACCTTGAATTCTTATGGCGCAATGAGAAAAAAGCGGAAAATGTCAAGGTGAAAAAAGAGTTGAAGAGGGCTGAAAGGCTTGCTAAAATTGAACAAGACTCTACCGAGGATACTGGTGAAATGAAATATGGTCTCTTGAACAATACACTGTTTTTGCGTATATACGAGACAACTATGAACCATTTCTACAATGGAAGATTAATTCAGAATATGATGTTTGAACCGAACATAGTGTTTGATTGTGGCTATGAGGACCACATGACTAAACGTGAGATACACAATTGCAGCAAGCAGTTATCTTTGGCATTTGCCCATAATCGCACTCATGTTAATCCTCTGTGTTTGTATTTTTGTAATTTCAACAAAAATGGATTACTCAAGCAGTATCTTCATCAAAACATGCCTAATTTGATGCAAGACGATTTTCCTGCCATTATAACGCCACAATCTTACTTAGATCTATTTCCAAAGAATCAATTAGTATATCTTACTCCACACTGTAGAACAAATTTAAGTAAATATGATCCAAATATGGTTTATATTATAGGTGCATTGGTAGATAAGGTAAGCTAGTATGCATTTTATGCATTCATTGCATATCCTTTATTAAATTGAATTTTTGTTTATAGGGAAATTCACAACCATTATCTCTGGCAAAAGCTAAAAAAGAAGGTATTCAGATGGCTAAATTTCCTATAGATCAATATCTTGAGTGGGGTGCTAGCTCGTCAAAGAGTCTTACACTCAACCAGTCAATTGACATAATGTTGGATTTGAGGCACACAGGAGATTGGAAAAAGGCATTAGAGAATGTGCCAGTTAGAAAATTAAAATCTTTTAGAGAACGTACATTACAAAGCAAAATGCAGAAGTCTATATTTTTGAATAGACTTCAGTCTCAGGAATCCATAACTCAAGATTTTACATTTCAAAACAGGAAACAGAATTAATTAATTTTGTTGTATATTATACTACAACAAATTATGTAAGAAATAATTACAAATTATTAAAAAAGAGTTTGTTATTTATTTCACTCTTTATATTTCTAAAAACTAATGGAATTAAATCTTTTTTAATACTATAAAATTATATAAAAAGATTATATATATATATATATATACACACACATAACAAACACGATGTTCGATCTGTTCTTTCATGCTTATTAAATTATGTTAAATTACGAAATAATTCTTACATGATTATTAATCTTTTTGTATATTTATTACTTTTTTTTATATTGCATGACATTTCCCTTTATTTCAAGAAATTAATAAAACTTAATGCTACAAAGAATATATAATAGATATATTTTATTATATAACACAATCTATATTTAATAAAATGGATACAATAAAAACATTTTTTAGACTCGTAATTGGTCGAATTCTAAAATAGGCATTTATTACGACACATGAAAAGTCATCATTGGTTGCGTTCAGCAGACTCGACTGTTGCGGAGCGGATCCATAAACGCTCGCTACTATTGGATGATCTAAAAGAATATACCAATAGCAGTGACTATTGTTTTTAGTTTGACAAAATTTTAGATGGCGCTATTGACGTCCATGAGTTTTCGAGGTACACAAGGTTTCGGAAATTCAATCTCCTAAAGTAATTTAATTTAATGCAACAATTATATATAAACTGATTATAAAAGAATATAAATATGGCGGGAGGGAAAAATAGTCAGACTGGATTTCAACCGGTAAACTAATACAGAAAATATTAAAATACGAAGAGTGGTATTGTTTCACACATTTGCAATCTAACCTGTTTTATAATATATATATACATATATTTTTTACAAGGATTCCGATGTTCATATAACTTATGAGGAACAACAGAAGATTAACAAATTTGCTAGACAAAATGCGAAGCTGGAAGATTATAAAGAAGAACTTAGAGTAAAGCAGGTAATCTGTTTAAAAGGATTAAAGATCGATTTTTTTTTAAGACACTGTTAACCTTATTTGGTCATGCAAGACTGCATGCATTATGGACATTAGTAATGCAAAATTAATAAAAATGCAATAGTAGCAATATGCAACCAAATTTTTATTATCATTTACTAATTATTTGCAATTGGCAGAACGAACTGAAAAATTTGGAAGATGCTTGTGACGAACTAGCTCTTATGGATGACGATGCAAAGATACCGTATTTTATTGGAGAAGTATTTATCTATCATCATCTTGAGAAAACACAGGTGATTAAATTATGTGATAAAGTATCTGTTTTTGTTCCTGCACTGTCTGAACTAGTGCACACTGTGCAATAAGTTAAAGTGAAACAAATATACGTTTGTTTCATTTTAACTTGTACTATGTGCACTAGTTCAGACAATGCAGGAACAAAAAGTAGACCTATAATTGTAATGATTTTTAATATTAGCTATATGAGAAGTATTAAATATTTTAATTTTTACTTTTTTTCAATGGTATTGGTATTGTTTTTTTTATTTTTATAGTTATTCAATCAGTATTGACAAGAATTTTTTTTTTAGAACTCTTTGGAAGAAGCCAAAAGTAAGAAAAAAGAAGATATTGCAAAATTAGAGGGCAAATGTGCAGATCTAAAGACAATCATGTCTCAATTAAAAACGCAATTATATGCAAAATTTGGTACTCGTATAAACTTAGAATCTGAAGAATTAGATTAATGTTTTTTGTCATTGATGCATTTATTATCATTGTATATTTAACATAAAAAATTTACATTGTTAGCATAATTAATAATTAATTATGAATAAATACATTTTTTAGTTTAATTATAATTAATAAATAATTTATATAATTTTATTTGTATAATACAATTTCCTTTGAGAGTTAATCTTTTTCTTACGTTAGGCCTTGCTCATATGGTGTGCAGGCTGATTATTTAATTGCTACTAGCATATATGAGACCTACAGTTTTTTTTAATGCTGGTTCCAAACAGTGGATTTTTCAAGGTGTTTCTAGGGATATTCTACAAGAATACTTTCAGGAGGTTACCAGCCTTTCTGAGAAGAGACATGAGCATAAATATTTTGAAAATATTAAATTATAATGAAACTCAATAATAAAAAAATAATAGAAAATAAATAATTTAATAATAATTTACTTTTGTTGATATTTTATATAGCAACTTACATCCTAGCTTAGACTCGTAGCCTATTTATTTAAATACTTCTTGCTAATATACAATACATAAAGTTTTTTAAAAAGAATCATTTGAATAATGTTCTTGATTGAGAATTCGAGATTGATAATATCATAATTACAAGGCTACAAGCTGTCTGGAACCTGACAGAGGATTTAACAAATTACAAGGACTTATAAATTTTTAAATGCTTTTTACAGTTATTTCCTTTAATAACACGTATTTGTATGTTGATAGCTTTCGTTTTTCGTCACAAGCGCGACTAGTTACTTTCAATAAATATTTTTCCAAGTAAGCTCTTGGATTTGTAAAAATTTACGAAGTAATTTTAGCCTTTTTGTAATAAATTTCTATATGATTTTATAATTACCCACTTAAATATACATGCTAAGTGACAAAATTGCGAATAAAATCTAGATCTTTTGTTAATAAGGACAACAAAGATAGAACTTTTGAATTCATTGTTGAAGTTACTTCTTTTGATATGTTCACTAAGTTATCGATAATTTGTATTAAAAGTAAATAATATAAGTAAAAGATAAATTTTATAAATACTGATTAGTAATATAGAAGACTGATGGTAGCATTGCCAAAGCTAATTAACTAAAATTATCAGTGGAACTGAGCCTAAATGTTAAGTAACACATACTAAATATTGCAGAGGATAGAAATGAAATTTGGATATTAGCCAATTTGAGATGTGCTTTCTGTGGTTGAACTAGTGTACACTTTTGGAACTTAAAGTGAGACAGGTATATGTTTGATGTTTGATGAAAACAAGAAAGAAAGTTCTAGTACAGTCTATTGCAGAAATAAAAAACCAGACTTTGTTCTCTCATTAGCATGGTATAAAAACGATTAGGATACATTTAGCAATTTTAAATTTTATTACACATTTTCTGAAAATAAATTTATAAACTATTTCTAATAATTAAATACATTGTTATGTGACTGTTTGTTACCATAATATGTTACAATAATTATTTGAGCCTTATTTTCATGATAGTGTTATACTGAATATATATTAAAAATAGTATATTTCAAAAGAGTTTAATTAAAAACATTTTTTAATATAAATTAAATAATTATACATAAGACACATTAATATTTACATGCATTATAATTAAGTATATTAATATAACTAAATTAAAATAAACGGATTTGAATTAAAAAATCGGTTTCAAAGTTAAAAAAATAGCAATAAATTCTCTCGTAGATTTAATCAATGTTCACACAAATATTTCTTTATAATTAAACTCTATTGAAATGTAGTCAAATATACAGTGATAAGTAAATACGACAACACTTGTATATTTATAATGCTCACTTACAGGAGAATTTCTTATTTATATTTTTCTTTTGGTCAGTCGTTTGTCACAATGAGTACTTAAATAATTCTTGCACAGCATAGTCTTTTTCTGTCATCCGGCTTGAGGTAAATTTAGTTTCACCGGCTTCAATGATCTCAGTACATGTTCTACCATGGCTTATTCAGTTACCGTCTAAGGTCAACTTTAAATATTGTGATCCATAAAATAATTACTACTGTGCTTACATAAAATACACATCTTGTTGCGGTTTTAATGCAACGAATATAAAAATAAAATTTCAGTGATAAGTACAAAAAATTGAATGTCACATAAATAATATTTTCTTTATTCTTTAGTACTCATAAAATTTGTTATATTATGTGTACATATATATTAAATATTAATTAATGTTATTGTATTATTATAAATTTAGATTTTCATATATAATTAAATACATAAACGTTATGCATTGTACTTACTGTGTTAAGAAGTAAATCTAGAATTATAAGAAAGGAAGAAGATTCTAATATTTTTAAGTATATATGCGCATATTATATTATATAATATACATATACATGTATATGTAAAATAATATTTGAAGAATTATCTACACGAAGGAATGGAGACGGCGAAGGAACTTGTATTAACTCTCAAGCAAAATAATAAGTCTCACGTAGGATATGGATTGCAAAAGGAATGCGAAGCTCTTGTTGGGCACATTTTACAAAATATGGTCAGATCCCAGATGCCTCCTCTGCATGCTGAAACAAAAAATAAGGAAGATTCTATTAGATACAGAGAAGAAGGTACGTATTTTATTTCCCATACATGCTGCAATACATTCTAACGAACAAATTTTCAGGTAATCAACACTTTGTGATGGGTGATGATCTTGAAGCTATTGAGTATTACACTCTGAGCTTGGCGTATGCCGACAGCGATGAACTCATGGCATACGCACATGCGAACCGATCCGCCGCTTTATACAGGAAACAATTGTACAAAGAATGTCTAATAGACATTGATGCAGCTTTGTCTCACGGATATCCAAAAGAAAAACAGAAAAACTTGAAAGACAGAGGGGATAAAGCGATAGCGGAGATAAAAAAGTTGCTGCAACTAGACTCGAAGGATATTGATGATCAGAGAATTACCAATGAACCGTATTTATACAACGGTATCGAGAAATCTGGTACAGTAGATATCGAGCACATAGGGAACAGGACAGTGAAGATAAACGATGAGGACATCCCGCAGAAACAAGGCATGGCAACTAACGAAAGTTATCTTCATTATGCCACGAAGATCCCTCCGCGGAAACCGAGATATTTGCAGGAAGAAAATTTCTCCAAGTTAATGAACGGCCCGAGCCAAGAAGTTCCCTCTGTCAGTGATGGCGTCATAATATCCTTCTCTGAAAGATATGGCAGACATTACATAGCTACACGGGAGTTTAAATCTGGTGATATAATCAGCATCGAAGATCCGTATGCACACGTTATCTATGAAGAACGGTGAGCTGTTAATTGAATTGTATTGTTTTAAATTTTCATTTGATTTGTTATCTCTATCTGTATTGTTCTCTATCTGCATTTTTTATTTGAAACAGATAAAGAAAGTAAGAATAAATTATTGTAAAAGATAATTATGGTATAGTAACATATACATAAAACATAAATTTATTTATTAATAAACTTTAAAAGTTCAGACAGTATTTGATGTGATGACCTCCTATAAATCTCTTCTCATCTTCTTTACTTTTACTTTCTTCTTAACATAAGTAAAAAACTGCCGAGAACCGATTCTTAGAATTCTTTCTTTAATTTCTTGAGATATAAATAATAGAATATGACTTTAATCGTTTAAAAAAATTATAATTCTGTGTAAAAGACTCTATGAGAAATTAAAGTTGCAAGAAAGGATTGATTTTGTTCAAACCATGGTTAAAATTTTAGAAATTAATTTAAGGATCACAAATATAAAAAGTATCACAAATATATGATAATACGATCAAAACGTAATTAATTATGTATAAGAAAAAACAAAATAAAAAAGATAATTCAAATATGTTCATTTATAAGGATAAGGAGTATAAATATAGGGGTAGTTTAGTGATTTCATAACTGCATTCTCCCTCTTGAAGAAAATTTGTATACTCGTTGTTTACAGGTATTATACACATTGCCACTATTGTTTAGCCAGAAGCTACAATCTAATACCGTGCTCAGGATGCCCGATAGCTCAATATTGCTCTGAGAATTGCAGGAAGCTGGCATGGGAAGCGTGTCATGAGACAGAATGTCCAATTCTAAAGTTGTTGACGAACTTGCTCAATGTTGACAAAGATAAAATAAGAATGATTTCGAAGATCATTCGATTGCTGATTGTAGTGACCGAGAATGGAACCAAAATTAAAGAACTGCAGCAAGATATGAAAACCGCGGAATCTAATTCAGGTCTATCATATTTAGTCTTAATAAATAAAATGGTTTTTTTTATATGGAAAAAAGTATTTCCTAAAAAGAAATAAATATTTGGTTCTATTAACAAAATGGTTTTTTTTTTTAAAGGAAAAAGATATTTGGTTCGATTAACAAAATGGTTTTTTAAATCGAAAAAATATTTCTTAAAAAGAAATAAATATTTGGTTCTATTAATGATTTAAAATATTAGTATATTGGATCCTTCATAATCACACAATTCTTTGATCCTTTCTATTGCAGACAATAGAACAGCAGGATTTACAGATACTGGGATATTAGACAGTTTTAGTGCCCGATCCGCACTGAGCCTGGCGACCAATATGACTACGAGACCGCTGATCGGAATCAGCGCCTTCGCCTGTATTTCGGCCCTTGCGGTGATTCTATTGGCTACGCAAACAAAATTTTTTTCAAAGAAATATGAGATTGATGATTTGAAGGACATCAGCGAATTTTCCGAGCTGAAATTTTGCGCCAGTATAATGTTTCGTGCTTGTGTGATAATGTCTTCTAACTGTTTTTCAGTGAGTTTCTCTATTTAGATGTATTCTTTATGTTTTTGAGAATATGCTGCTAATGAAATTATTATATATATTAATTTCTCCCTCTTTCTCAAGATATAGTTATATATTATCCTATAGATACAACAAGAACCAGGAATTGTGTCGGGTTCGGGATTATATGTAGCTCACAGTCTATATAATCATTCTTGCGCACCAAATACTTT